CGGTTCAGGCAGAAGCTGGCTGAAGCGGATCAGAGGATGACCGGGTCAGGGTCAGGCCGGGAAAACAAGCTGGCCAACCTGCAAGAGCTTGTAGGCAATGCTGGCAGAGCGGCTAACCTTAACGTGCCAAAGGGTTCGTCCAGGGACTGGCTCGATCCACATTGCCATGAATCACAGTTTGAGAAAAGGCATCGCTAGTCATCAGCTTTTACGTGTTCCCTTAGTGTGTTATGAGAACACTCAGATTTCAAGCAATAAAGCCGGACGTGGTAATGAATCTAATGATCATCTCTGTTCTTGAAGAGATCATCACCTCCTCTGTCTTTGAGCAGAAACAAAAGAGTGATCAAAGGGTGTACTCTTATCTTCTTTACTGTTTGAAGCTGGTAACCATCTGGATTTCATGAAGATTGATTTCTTGTGTTTAATTACACAGACATGGAAGTTGAAATTCAGAAAGTAAACACTCGCCTTCTGTTATCTTCAGACAAAAACATAGGATCTGAGTTAAGATTTGATTTGTACGCTTGCTGTCGTGAAAAGCTTGATAATATCTCTCATCTTTTGAACTGAGAAGATTGAGCAAACACAATGTCAGAAGTTGTCAGAGTTCCCGACTCATCAACATCCAGTTGCTCGAACTCTTCCATTATCGCTGAAATGTCCTGTTGATCGATCTTCCCCATTTCTTTGAGCTTGTATACAATGAACTCCGCCGCCCTGTCGGGTCACAGACAAGGAAAGAAGAAAAACTCGTGTCATGTGTTACATCCTCAAGAAAGAAACTTTCCAGTTCATTTCTGGACAAGAAGATGAAGATTGCAAGAAATCACAGAGAACAGTAAAATCCCGAGTGAATCTGATCGTAAAGAACGAGAAGATATTCTCACCCGACGACACCGTCATCATCAAGATCAGCAGCCTCAAGATCACTGTTTGTGATTCTCCGAGTCAGAACCCATTTCACCAATTCCCTCTGCCTGGTTTCGGTATTAAGCTCGGCTACGTAGAGGAGAAACTGAGCCAAGCATATCGTGCTCGTCAATATCCAAAACACAGCAAATACACGTCCAGATCCGGTATTGAAGCTCTTATCGCCATACCCCAACGTCGTGATCGTGGAACAAACGCAGTACAAGGCATCGACAAACTGCATCTTCTCGACCACAACGAGGAAACCCATTCCGGCCAAGACGAGGACCACAAGGACAAGGAACGTAACATAACACTTGTACCTCGTCCTGTTGGTCTGAATCTCCTTCAGAATGTCTGTTGGACCGAAGTTTCGACGCAAGTGAAAGGCTCTAACCAGTAAAGCCTCTTGCTTTTCCACCAGATAATCCGCTGCCCTGCTTAGAATATGACCCACAAGGACCATTCCCGAGAAGACAAAGGCACAAGCCAGTAACCTCGAGGCAGAACTGCTCGGTACGAGGTCTCCATATCCGACGGTTGTCATCGTTACTATACAGAAATAGACAGCATCCACCAAACCATTGGTCTTATTACCAGAAATCTGGTTTCTTGCAAGATAGAAGCATATAGCACCAATGCCTAAATACAAAGCCAAGAACAGGATGACTCGTCTGAAGCTCGGGTTGAGATCTTTGAAAATGGAAAGATTACGTAGTGGCGGAGGAGGAGGCGCCTCGTCAAGTCTGGCATCGTCGTTGTAACCGAAATCTCCCCGAGGAGCGCTTTTACAGCGGCGGAATCTTCTCTTCCTCGAGGAATTTCGGTTGAAATCTTCAGCCATAGGGTCTACGCTCTTCTCTGGGAGCAAAGGCTTCTGAGCTGTATCACTTGACATCATCACCAAACTTAAGGAATCTACCACAAATCTTGAAAACCTGCCAGATTTGATCGAACCCTTGATCAGTTTCTAATTCTAACACCATCTCAAAGAATGAACCGACCTAATGCAGATTTAAGATCAGTGATAACCGGAAAAATCTGGAGAAATGAACAGTAATAACATGATAGAGACCAGAAAGCATAACCCCTTAACACGATTTACCGAGAACATGCCCATCAACAATCGTAAATTCGGTCTAGTTTCTTGTCTGAAAAACAACAAACCCATGAATTGAACCAAAAGAATGCGGATTTCGAATCGAAGTTTCCCAGAATCTATGTCAGAAACACAGATTAGAGCACGATACATGCCGCAACTGAATATTCGAAGGAACTTGTTCAGGTGAGAATAAAAATTGGAGCTTTATCAAAAATCTCGCAAGAACTATCAAACCCGGAAGTAGAAATCAACGGAAAACGAAGAATTGAAGATTACCAAGAATGGAAATTCTCAGGATCGGGGGAAATGCGTCAACCGGTAAGTTCGGATCTCGGGATTGTTCTTGTCTGGCTCATCATCATCATCATCGCATATTCTTACATGTTGATCGGTTCTTGAGTTTTTAAACAGACAAGGAAATAAATAAAAAACTTGGGAAGTATTTTATTTTTTTCCCATTTTTTTCCTGAAAATCATTGAATTTTGTTAGACTTTTTCCCCCGACTCGGTTAAAAATATAAATTGCTTTTAGAAGAAAAATATTGATTTTTATTTCAAATTTGAGGATTGATTAATTACATTGATTGGTCCGATACACACAAAAAAAAATATTATATTTTTTTTTATAATCATGATGGTTTCGGATCAATGGTTCGATTACATTCACGTTAGATCCGGGAGATTTTGTGATCTCGTTAGATCATTTTACCGACTGTAAAAAAAAAGTATTACATTGCTTTTATTTTGGCTATTATTTCGTAATATCTGACATCAGTTTTACTATATTGTGTCTTTGGTTGCAGCCACTGTCTTTGTTTCTTAGTGATGATCCATAACCAAGTGATGATAGAGACATACTTATATAAATATGAGCTTGGACAAGTCTTGAAGTCTAATTGTTGACGTTGAGATATGGTAAAACTATATAGACCATTCTTACAGAACATCGCGCCGTTTTACAATTACGTGTAGAGACGCTTCGTCGTTTCAAAGCAATGAGCCGGGCAAATCTACCAGAACGGCATGCATTGTTTTTGGCTTCTGATCACGTAAAGACAAAACAATATATACTTACTGCTGAAACGTAATAACATCCACAACACACACACACACATACTAAAGATTAATACAGTGAATCCCCACCGAAATTAAATTGACTATTCTATGCATATAATAATACAGGAATACACATATATATGTGACGTGTAATTTCCATCGTGTTCATGTTCTATGACAATCACCGGTGCTAATATGGCAACAAGCCATGCTTAGTAATGGCTTTCTATATATACATCCATGGCATCACATCCTCCATGCATACATACATAGCAAAAAAGAAAGACTAAAATACACATCCATTGAAAAGATACCACGACACCGCTTATATTCATGTCTTTAAGTTCAAGATACCGATACAGTATATATATATATATATATATATGTCTTGTTGAGAGGATGGTTGTATCATATATATATATATATATATGGATCGATAGAGATTCAAAGCTGATGAGGCCAAAGGAAAGATCCCATGGCAAAGGCCCTCTTCTCATCGAGAGTTCCTTCGAAGGAGAGACCATATTCCCTGAGGAGCAAGTCAAGCCTCGTCCCATCCATGCTTTCGTAATCAGCCTTTGAGTATTTTGGGTAATGAAGTGGCACTTGGAATCCATATGGGTATTCTTCCTTTTTCGCCATCTTGATGTGATCATGTTGGTTCGCATGGTCATGGTCATGCCCCGAGTGTCCGAACAGCCGTGTGAAGGCCAAAGCCACGAGCCATTTCATCTCCACACTGAACATTTTTTCCCAAGGTCTCTGCATTCAAGGAGCAACAATTCAAAAACCAGAGCATGAAATAACGAAAATGACCGATCAATCGATAGATTTATTAGTAGCTTTGCTGATTTTATATAACAAAGATTTACCAGAAGGAAATATAGAGGTTGCTTTGAGATCCAAGAAGATGAAGAGAAGCTGAAATGATGAGTGTGAGAAGAGGAGCAAGCTTTAGAGCAAGCTGGGTCATTTTAATGGGCAAAGGGGTGTATATATAGATAAAACCTAACATATACATATATCTATACATGTATATGTATATATATTTAAATAACATTACAAACCCTAATTCCATAAAAAAAACACTATAAACCCTAAATATATAGTCTACACTGAATACCAATCACTGACCATAAGAAAAAGAGAGAAAAGCTTTAGGGTTTAAATTCTTTGAGCTAAATCACATTTAAGATGCGATATTTAAGGTTTATATATATATATTACGAAATAAAATGGGGTAAAAATCATCTAAAAGTAGGAAAAATTTTATTTCGAGAGGGTTGTTGGGAAATTAGGGGTTGAATAATTATAATTAGGAATTGGTAGGTTAGGTATTTTTGTTCGCATTTAATATGCTAAGGGGGAGTGGTTAGAGGTCGTTTTTGGAAAATTAAAGAGAGGTCCCAACCTTCCTCATGCAGATTTTGCCAGATCGGAATGTTTCAGCCATTCATATGGTTTTCGTGTTTGTGTGGCCATGTCTCACTCTCGTATCATTCCACTTTAAACCGGTTTTGGTTCGGATCTATTGAAACCGGTTCTGTCAAACCAAACCGCTTCAGAAAACATTATGAGCCGTAAATAGGCCCATTATAATGTTGGGCTTTTTCTGACTATATTGGGCCAAACCTTTTTTTTGTATTTGTCTACCGTTGGAGGTCTATTCATTTGTCGTTTTGTGGAGGTTCTCTTTCTATCGAATTTCAAGAGTAATGATAAATAATAATAATAATAACAATATAAATAAATGATTTATCATTTATGGAATTTCAAAAAATGAATATCGGAATCATGGTAATCTGAAACTAAAACAGTTTGCAGCTTAAGAGTAGTTTTGTATTGTTCCAATATAGTGTAATATTGCGTCAAAAGTAAGAAACAGTAATCTCAAACCCTAATGCTGCTTCATGCTAGTTTTTTTTTTTGGGAAACCCTAATATGTGTGTATATATATATACATTACTTGCATTGCAAGTAATAGGAGATTAAGAGATGGGATTAGTAGATTATTAATTAAACCATCTTTGCATTTTTTTTTTTGGGCATAAGCACCCAACTTCTATGAGTAACCTTTCCTGTGTTTCTTTATAACGCATCGAGTCAGAAGCCTCTCTCCAATCATCTTTGCGACCTCGCTCTTCTTTAATCCCCCCACGTCCTTCTTTCTGCTCTGAGGGATAAAGATTATGCCGATTAATTGTAATTGTAACCCACTAATTACCGCTTTAATGTTTTGAGAGAAAAATAAAATAAAAAGGAAGTAGATTTAAATCTGATTAACAAATGAATAAATAGATAATGATGTAAATCATTGGAGATAAAATTTCGGATGATAAAAGAGTTTTAAGTGGTGAGTTATGGTTTTAAAGCTTTTTTTTTGTGATAAATATGGTTTTGAAACTTTATCACATAAGGAGTAGATTTAAATTATAAAAAAAAAAACGGTAGAAGTTGGAGTTAGAGTAGAATAGAATAACCTCACGCTCCTATATTTATTAAACCCATCATATTCACAACCTTTCACCTCCACACAGGGAAACAAAAAACAGAAGACAGAAGACAAGCGTTTAACACTCTCTCAGAGTCTCTTCATAGTTCCCACGACACAGGAGGACAAAAAAAACGACATCTGGGTTTTGATCGTGATCACATACTGATTCACTTCCCCAGGAAAGAAACAGGAATCAAACAGACAGATAATCGCCATGAAAGGCCACGTCTTTATCGCCATGTTCGTGGTTTTCGTCGGGTTAGGGACGAGTTTAACGCAGAGGGAAGGAAACTGGAGAGATTACATGAGCTGGGACGACATGAAACTGGAGGTGGACGAGGTGGGGGGAGCGAGACCGAGCTTCAGGGACAACGGAATGAATCAGAGCAGAGTGATCGTGGTTGATAAGAACGGATTCGGCGATTCGGTTACTGTTCAAGGAGCTGTTGACATGGTTCCCGAAAATAACTTACAGAGAGTTAAAATCTTCATTCTTCCCGGATTTTACAGGTAGAGAGAGACAGAGACAATGCATAAGTTTGATAACGATGGTCGTGTGTCTGAATCTAATTGGGTCTCTGTTTCTTTTTCGTTTTCTTTCCTCTGCGCAAACTTGTTCAGAGTGGGTTTGTGTAAGTTGCGTCAGATAGGAAGTTTCTTCCGGTCTGAACGTGTTTGAATTTTCGTTTTTTTCCTGTGGGGCTGAAACTTGTTGAGAATGTCTCTGTCAGTGATCATGCTCTGTTTTTTCTCTGAAAGTTTTCGCCTTTAGAAACAGAAATCGGGTCTTTACGAAATTAGAGAAACGTGTGTTTTCGAGCAGTGTTGTCCTAAATTCTTGGGGTTAGTGGAACAACCTGAATATCGGCTACGTGGGCAGTTGCTGTCATATTCTCTCTCTCTCTCTCTCTCTCTCTCTCTCTCTCTCTCTCTCTGAGTCTGTGTTTGGTCTGTGTGTTTTCAGGGAGAAGGTGATGGTGCCGAGGAACAAGCCGTACATATCGTTCATAGGGAACGAGAGCAGAGTGGAAGAGACAGTGATAAGTTGGGACGACAAAGCTTCCGACATTGACGAGAATGGTCTCCTTCTCGGCACTTACCGCTCCGCTTCTGTCACCGTTGAATCCGATTTCTTCTGCGCCACGGCCATCACTTTCCAGGTTCTTCTTCTTCTTCTTCTGAATACACCACAGAAGAAAGAGATACAGAATGTGTATTTATACGTGGATGTGTATTTTTTTTGGGAGCAGAACACAGTGGTGGCAGAGCCAGGAGGGTACGGAATGCAGGCAGTGGCACTGAGGATCTCAGGGGACAGAGCAATGTTCTACAGAGTTAGGGTTTTAGGCACACAAGACACTCTCCTTGATGAATCTGGCTCTCACTACTTCTTCCAGTCCCACATCCAAGGAAGTGTTGATTTCATCTTTGGCAAAGCCAGATCCCTTTACCAGGCAAATTCCTTCGTCCTTCTTTCTCCTTTTTCTTCCTCATTCCCGTTACCCGAAACCATTCCAAGAGATCAAAACGCTGCCCCTTTCGATACGGGTTTCCCGGGTTTTTTTTTTTGCCACAGGACTGTGTGATTCAGTCTACGGCCAAAAGATCAGGAGCCATTGCAGCTCACCACAGAGACTCAGAGGATGAAGACACCGGATTCTCTTTTGTGGACTGTGTCATCAATGGAACAGGCAAAATCTACCTGGGAAGAGCATGGGGAAACTACTCGAGAGCTATTTACTCCAACTGCTACATCGCTGATGTCATCACCCCCATGGGCTGGAGTGACTGGAACTTCCCCTACAGACAGAGGTAATGAATCTGAAACATTGCAACATGTGAGATGATGAAGTGTTCTGTCTTAAGATTACACAGGGACAGGCTGATGGGGAAAATCTTTTTGCAGGACTGTGTTGTTTGGGGAGTACAATTGCAGGGGAAGAGGAGCAGAGAGAGGAGGACGAGTTCCATGGTCGAAAAATCTCACCTTTGATGAAGTTAGGCCTTTCCTGGACATCAAGTTCATATATGGAGAGCAATGGCTGAGACTCTAACTGATTCTGATCACCCAGAGGAGTTCAATTCTGACCAAAAAGGCGAAAATCGAAGAAAAGAGAAGAGGGGAGAAAACCCCGATAGAAGCTAACTTGACCCGTCTTATACTATTCGTTTATAAGCATTCGATGCAGAAATGTGCATGTTTTAGCAGACACTACTGATCTGGAAAGCAAACCAAGTTCTTGATATTTCTCATCTAGTGTTTTAGCCTTTCAGTCTACCGATTGGTCTGAAAATGGAAAGAGATCGTGAACTTAGGATACTTACTTGCATTACGTGCTTATATCTTCTTAAAACTGATACAGCTAGGAGCAACATGTCCAAAGACGAGTCTTGTGTTACAAATGACTTGCCCTAACAAACGTAGCTTAACCTAAATTCCCATTCCTAAACTCCTATGCTTACATTGGTTAAACAAACACAGCCACCAAAATCTAGCCCCTTCAATTTCTGTACAGCCCACCCCTCCCTCGAGCCAAACGAAGTCAAGCCAAAAAAAAAACCCTGCAAGCTATGTCATTATATATACATAAATATCAAAGTTTCTGAATCGAGGCACATACCTAGTGCTGGAATCAGTCATCATTGTATATTTTCGCGGGCGTGGTAGCGGTCTTTGAAAGGACACTGGCCAATCCTGGCTTGCTGCCTTTCTCATAATTAAGTGTAACATCGCTCTCATCTATGATGTTTACATGGTTGACACCCGTGTTAATGTAGTTACTTCCAGCCTCTTTATCTTCATCTTTTGAAGATTGGTTTTGGACATTTTCCACACCATCCCCACCGTCCTTTTTCTCTTCGTTTGTTTCCATCAGAAGGCTATACCCTGAACCATCATCACATTGAGGGTATTCAAGTTTTGCTTCTTTATCGGTATTTGCCATAGCAATTGGCTCCATTTTGCCATCTTTTGCAAGAATGGTTGACACCATGGACACCTTGGCTTCAGGACTAACAGCAGAAGACATGATAGAAGAGAGTATTTCGGGTTTAGGATCGATATCAACCCAACCGTCTCCAACCCAATCCCTGGAGATCCTGAGATCATTTTTGTCCATGTTCAAGAATAAGTTTTCCCCTAACATCATGATAAGAAAATGACTTGTTAGTTCTATTAAAGAAAAGAGAAAGTGTGTTGCCCTAAAATGAAAGCAGGGGAAAAAAATAAAAAAGTATGTGACAATATACCAGGGACGTAAATTTGCAGGCCCGATGTGATGGGGTTGTCAATTGCTGTTACAACACCTTCCCACCAACCATCACTCCACCAAGCATCAACAGCTGTACCGACTGTGGGAGTAAAGTCTGCTCTTTTAGCATCAGGGAGAGCAGGCCGGATCGTTGGCCGGTTAGAGGACCTCATTCCAAGCTTATCAGGCATAGCAAATTTAACAGCCGGCACAAATTCCTACTCAAAATAAAGGAAAAAAAATGGTACTTATCATTAGCAATTAGGCGACAAACACAAATCATGTTAGAAACCAATTGATAATTTAGCTTTTGATTATATAGTTATTAACTTCAATGGTGTAACAGGTACGGAAAATTGAAATAGCTAAAGTCTGTGGGAACAATAACATACCTCAAGGTTTCCATATCCATCCTCATCCAGTATATCATCATACTGGACTTTTATTAGTTTCCTGGACACTTCCAGAACAGTGCATCTAAACCAGCATCCCCTTATACCACTGTCTTGACACAGCAACTCTATTTTCGCATCAGCCTTAACAACTCCATTGTAACAAGGATGTTTCAGTACATGGGTTGGAGGAAGAAATCCTTTGTCTTCTCTGCCACGTTTGAGTTTCTTGCGTGAAGATTCACTGGTCACCAATCGATAGTCAGAAATCCGTCTCACTTGTTTTTTCTTGGTCCTCTTTGTACCTGTCTTTGTTTTTTCATCTTCACTCTGCTCTTCCTCCTCCTCTTCATTGATGGAGCGATCTACAGGTTCAACCTCCAATAAAGGGGCAGAACTCAAGCAAGACATAATCGGTTGGTCAAAGTACCCGCGCAATCTACTCAAGTCAAAGGGTTTGACTTTGTTGTTCCTGAGTTGCCTAAAGCACATGTGTACCCTCGCTAACAAAGAATTAGGAAAAGAAGCCAAACACTCCTCGTAATGCTCCCGGGTTAAGATAGTGGCAGGACCATCAACACATTCTGCACTGATGACCTGCGAGTGAGGGGTGATGAAAACCTCTTTTGAATTTCGGTTTTTGACAGAAACTGCACCCTTCCCTTCTTCGGTGTAATGAAACCATCTCACTTTAACCTTTTTCAGGCCTCTCTTGTCCTCGTACATATCTTCGAGATATGCCACATTATGGCCCTCCCACTTATCCATTATAAAGACAAAAGATTGAACCTGGAAAGCCAAAATAAGGGAAATATGACTGAATGAATCCAAGTCCCAACAAAATTCAAAGCACAACACTGTATAAAAAATGCAGGTGCATGGAAATTCAAACTACTTTAGAATTCAGGAGCTAAGCAAGCATAGCCATGCCATGTCCTTAGCAGCGATTAGAATAGAGGGTTTAAGAGTCTGAGGTTCAGCTTACCTTTATCGTCGTACCATTCCTGCAAAAGGATGGGTAATGTTTGAGCTGCTTACCACACATCCAAGAAGTTCCTGACCACACGATCTCCCAATTATGTACACTTAGGTTCACAGGAAGACGACCCTGTTAGAGAATTTTCTCCATAAGCATTACATTACAGGTAACAAGAACATAATGATAATTCTACGGGAAACAAGAAGATAATTACCATCTCATCAGTTGCTTGAGTCCGTTGAACAGTGGCTCCGTTACTTGGAAATGTTGGAGAACCATTAGGTTCCTCCGAATCACATTTAGGCGATACTGAAGAACAATAGAAGCAAGTTTGTCAAATACAAAGTTAACAGATACCAGTTCATATAGCTACGAAGAACCCATTCATCACTTCAACATCCCTTTCAAGCAGCAAGCGAATCACTGTATGGAACAACATGAGCTAATCATGCAGAAGAATGATCATTGAGATATAAAGGTAGGGACGTTACTCGACCAGTTGCCTTGTGAATTTTGCTTAGACAGCATTGAAGTGAGCCAATCTACAACCTCTCTTCTTGATCTCCATTTGAAGCCAGCATGAATTGAATTCTCAGCACCATGAACACGCACAAACTCCTCTGAAACAACATAAAACATGTGCCTAACACTTCTCTCGGTACCAACCACAGCCAGGATGGATTCACCGGAAGAATCCTTCAGAAAATAATGAACAACTCGGTTTCCACGCTCCTGTGATACAAAATGTTCCTTCCACTCAACGAAGTGGTGGCCATTCTCATACATCTTTTAAGCTACAAGGGCTAACAAAAGCACCAAACACAAGGCGCAGAACCCTTCTTACATCACATATGAACTGCCAGCAAAAAGACAACAGCCATAGTTTTTGATGTCCCGTGGAAACCCTAAGGCAAGTTCTCAACTTTCAAAAGCCTTCCAATGCATACTTGCCCTCTAAAACAATTTCTAAGAGAAGATTAAAAAAAGAGAAGTATTATCTAAACGATCGAAGCATTGATCAACTAAGAACTAAGGAGAAAGAGTAAGCCGTGGATTTCTCTGCCGATTTCCAGCTTGGGGAATCAAATAACCCTGACGAAGAAGAAGTGGGGATTAGAGAAAACCGAGAAGATCCCAGAAAGCGGAGAGTTGCGAAGATCTAGCGACAGATCAGAGACGAAGTCTAGGAAAGAGGGATCCAAGCTCGAGAGCGCCGACAGGCACCAAGTCACAGCTTTGACTGCGTTGATCAGCAGAAGCATCACGAAGACGCGATGGGCACAACAAAAGGTGGAGGTTCTACTAGTCAAACCGCCAAAAAAAATAGAAGATTCGGAGAAGAAGGTTGACGAGTGATAAGAAGCTCAAAAAAACATCGAAAATTTGAGAGCAAGAACATATTTCGGAGACTGGATCAAGGGTATGCAGAGAAAAAAGGATGGAGAGGAAGAAAACAAGGTCCGATTGAGGTTAAACCGAAGAAAATGGGGCATTTCCATGGATGTTCTCACGAGATGCAGGAGTTTGGCAAGCAGCTACGAGAGAGAGAGAGAGAGAGAGAGAGAGAGAGAGAGAGAGAAGGGAAGGGGGGGGGAGAGAGATGAAAATGTTTATTTACTGGTAGTGGTAAATACCGAAAATACCCAGAAGTTTTTGGGCCGATTGTAAATTTGTAATTTATGGGCCGTTTGTGATATATTTAAATAATTGGTAAAAAAATTTAAAGAAATGCTCTCACGCCGACTCGTCGTTTGGCTGCCGAGAAATTAAGCAAGAGAAATGTTCAAAATCATTAAATTTTCTCGAGAAGATCATTTTTTTGATGGTAAGAAACTGGGTGGGAAAATTGTAGAGGGTCGCATCGAGAGAGAGAGATCGGTTCATCTTCGTTAGCTAAGAATCTATCACGAGCAGCTGAAAGCATCAGTAACAATGGCGGGAAAAGCTTTGGTTTTAGATCTGTTGAAGAAATCTCAAAGCCGTAACTCCAAACACACCCTCCACTCCCCGCCGGCCTTCTCCTCCTCCTCCTCCGCCGTCTCAGTTCTCTCCATTGCTCCTTTCGGCTCTAGATTCCTCTTCGGGACCGGGTACGTGTTTGTTTGTGTGCATATATGTCTATGTACTTGCGTGACTTTCACTTTTTGATTTGACCTTAGTTGTTAGGGTTCATTGGGTTGCTCAGTAGAATGGTTTCAGGTTACGTGGTTTTTCTCTGTAACTGTGGTTAGGGTTTAAGGCTTAGACGGTGGGCTGTTTCCTGATGATCATTAGGAAACAATAGCTAGCTATTTTCACAGTTATCAACTACAAATTGAGATCATTAGCAGATATACACAACGAAAACTTTAGTTTATGAATCAAATTACTGTAAAGTTATAGGATCATTGAATTAGATTCGGGGAATATAGCAGTCCCAATAGACAAGCGCTTACTATAATGAACCTCAAATCAAGTTACTGAAAACCAACCCATGGTGGATTCTACCAGACTACAGTTGACGAATTCACTCAACTCTTTAGGCCGAAGTTTGCCATAGCCAATGCCATCGGGTTGAATGGAACACGTAAACTATGCCCCGTCATATCATGTGTCCGAGCATGTATAGACTATAGATATAGCTTGACTCATGCTCATCCTAGGACCAGAACAATAAGCAAGCGCTTTTGTAATAGCTTCGTAGTGTCGGTTCTGTTATGACTTGCTACCAGACTACAGTTGTGACCACTCGGCGAATCCTTGAAAGGCTGGCTTTGCATTATGCCTCGCATCGCATGGCATGGAAACGTCTAAAGGGTAAATATCAAGACTACATCTTTTTCGGGTCCTTTGCTATTGCAAAAGAACTGATCACACTATGATATATATGTGTAGATTGCGCCTCAGTCGGCTACGCGCAAGGCAGAGAGAGGATGTCCCATTCATGTGTACATCTTTAGAGTCAGCAGAACAACTCTCAGAGGTACAGCAGTTTGATACATGTCGAAATGCCAAATCCCAAATGCTTATTATGATGCACAATTATGGAATCTTTGTTTATGGCAGGACACTTACCAGGTGTTGCAGGAGAATGGATAGTCCAAGTGGGTACAGAAACATACCATGTTTCACCCCTTGTATCAGACCCGACAAGGAAGAAGAGGACGAGGTCGAGATTTCAGAGCAAGCTAGGGTTTTCGGGAAGAAACTCGCCGGTATTACAGTAAGATGTGGTGCTTCCTTAGTTTTCGCTGCTATTAGAGCCGGCATCTGCTCCTGCATCATGCGTCCCTCCACCTGACAGTGGATTGGTAAGCCCTCACTACAAAGTACAAAGAAGAAACAACAGAAGTTGGGGTTTTTCTTCCATTTCCCAGTTCTGATGCTATGTTTTTTTTTTGGGTGAACCGGCTGTGCATTGGATGACTTGGCTGGTCCAGTTATTCTTCGGTCTGATATCTAAATCCCTGTCGGAAAACTCTGTCTACAAGATGTTCCAAGAATCCTGGAGCTTGTTTCTCAACTTTGAGCACCTTGCTTGAACAATATGGGAGACACCGTAAGGTTGGAACTACTCTGTGAACTCATCATCCACAATATGGGAGACACCAAATGATGCAGGACTGGCTGACAAGTCGAATGCATCCGCCACTCAAAGTGTTATAACAGTACAATATATGTAGATCTTTTTATATTTATAATAGTTGTGCTTGGAAAATAAAAAAATAATTCAAGTATATATTCTAGACGAGTTTTATTCGAGGATATATTCTAAACGAGTTTTTATATATATTTTATTTGCCACGAATTAGATTCAATTAATCTTACTATGCTTTATGCCAAGCTGGAATCTTCTTTTGCTCGTCACTTTTTCGTTGTCACGAATTTTCAATAAATTTGTTAAAAATATATTTTATTCAACCCAAAAGTGAGTTTTTCTTTTTTATTTTTACATCACTTAAGACATTTACCATAAAAAATTTGAGATACTGAAATAGATTAGTTCATCTGTTTTGCGTGAAGAATAGAGATGTTTTAGATTAATACTGAGATATATTTTTTTATATTGTAGCCATTTTGGGTTTCTATTGAGGTTCGATTTAGTTATATTGGAATTCGATTATAGAAAAATTATAATCATTCAGTTTTATATCTGTTTTGGTTAAAATTTGGTTTTTTACCGGAAAAAAAAAACTCATTTTTCAAATAAAATTTTAGGTTTTCAATTATTTTCTAATTCGGTTTGATTTAATTCGATTTCAGTTTTTTTAGATTTAGATAACCAAATGGTCACCTCTAATCGAAGTTATGAATTAAACGTTATATTTATGAATAAAAGAAATTGATATATCACGTGCAATATAATGCATTGGAAGAGAAGCAAGGAACCAAGTGGAGAAAAAACTTTAGATGTGAATTAACGTGATTGAAGAAGATATATGACCTCCCCACTTTGTGCCAAAAAGCTTATAAATCAATTCACAGGCTTCACAAGTCTCAACACATAGCGCCATTCTTCAACCAAATTTTTTTTAAACAAAAAAAATATACTAATCAATTTCTCTATGCACTTGGTTATTCCATATACATCATTTCCAAACACGGGCTTGATATCAAGTGGAAGAATCGGGCTGTCATAACCAATAATGTCCGTCATATTTCATTCCTTATTAACCTTTGATCATATATTATAAATAAGTTATGGAATGCAATAAATTTCCGGCGTTTATTCATGTTGTTCCATGTTTTTTTATTGGGTAAGATATTTTATAGGAATTATTTATCTTATATTAGTTTAGTTCAAATTTATATACAACACAAAAATTATTTATTTTTTGTCACACGCCATGATGGAAAATTCAAAAGCCCAACACGCGCCTGAGGAATCGGAGCCGCCTCCCGTACTCCTGTATTCTCGGAACTGGAAAATCTATTAGCTTTATCCGTACCGTCCACGTGGCAAAAACCACCAAATAACATCACTTTGCTTAAAACGCACGGCCCAGATCTCATCTCAAGTTCGTGAGCAATAAATACATAATAAATTATATATAACGCATATTTGTCACGATTATATATATATATATATATATATATATATATTGTTAATGGAGAAATTAAAATCGCAAAAGATATTAGTATTGTTGGTATCATCGGTAATTTGGTATGTATTTATCCTTATTCCCTTTTCCAAAAAATTGAAACTCGCAGAATCAACATAATCAGGAAACAAAATTAAATTCCTTCTCTCTTTAGATTTTATTCAACCAATCACAGTCGAGGATTATATATTTTACCTAATTCAAATGGAATAATAATAACACCTAACGCGCTCCACGTATAAATACGCCTCACCTGCCAAAACCCTTGCGTTTTTTTTCTCTCCTTCAAGTTCATCCCTGGTTCTCTTCTCTTTCACTGCAAAGCAAGCGCTAACGGGTTTTCCTGTTCCTGATCCTTCTCGTTCGTCTCGATCCTCTTCCATGGTAAGTTCTCCCAATATCTCAAAGTGTTTATGAGTTCAATTCTCTTCGTTTTCGTGTTCGAATCTGGTGAAGTTTCCGGAATTTAGCAATCTAGAGGGGTTTTGCCCTGTTTTTGATCGAATTGTCTCCAGAAATTGGGGTTTTTTCTCCTTTACCGATCTGATTTTATATATATATATATATATATATATATATATACGAAGTTTAGTCAGCTTATTCGATCTGGTACTCGGAATGAATTCCGGATTTGATCGCGGTATTCCCTTGACATGGACTTGGCATAGTAGTGTAGATTCGCCTTCTTCGTTTTTTCTGGTAAATTATGTTGATGCATTCAACAGATCAGTATTGTTCTTATCTCCATGTTTTCATATATGCTTGCACTATCAACCAATCTGTGTTGTTTTGAAGTTTTTCCGGTAACTTGTATAATCAAATCCATGTTCCGGTTCCCTGTTTTGCGAATTTTGGTTTGGAGATTGATCAAAGTTTCAAAAAAACAATTCTAACCCCAACAGATGACGTGTACGATTTCTGAGCCGCCTGATAATGACTCCGAGAACTTTGCGGAGGCGGATATGACCGAAAGATACGGCCGGTACGATGAGCTGCTCGGCTCCGGTGCCGTGAAGAAGGTTTACAGGGCCTTTGACCAAGAGGAAGGCATAGAAGTGGCGTGGAACCAAGTCAAGCTGCGGAATTTTTCCAACGATCCGGCCATGATCGAGAGGCTTTACTCTGAGGTGAGGTTGCTGAAGACTCTCAAGGACAAGAACATCATTACCCTGTACAAGTTCTGGAGCGACGAGAGCCGAAACACCTTGAATTTCATCACTGAGGTCTGCACCTCGGGGAATCTGAGGGAGTACCGGAAGAAACACAGGCACGTCTCGATGAAAGCGTTGAAGAAATGGTCGAAGCAGATCTTGAAGGGTTTGAATTATCTCCACACTCATGAGCCCTGTATCATCCACAGGGACCTCAACTGCAGCAACGTGTTTGTCAATGGCAACACCGGCCAGGTAACTACCGACATTGAATGTGGAGATAAATTCAAAACTCTTGACCGGTGCCTGATAAAGTTTTGTGTCTTGACAAAACCAGGTAAAGATTGGCGATCTGGGCTTGGCTGCAACAGTGGGGAAGAGCCATTCAGCCCACTCGATTCTCGGGACACCCGAATTCATGGCTCCCGAGCTATACGACGAGAACTACACTGAGATGGTGGACATATACTCGTTCGGGATGTGCGTATTGGAGCTAGTGACACGCGAGATTCCATACAGCGAGTGCGATAGCGTAGCGAAGATATACAAGAAGGTGTGCAATGGTGTAAAGCCAGCGGCTCTGAACAAAATCAAGGATACAGAGGCTAGGGCATTCATAGAGAAGTGCATTGCTTCGAAGCCGGAAACCAGACCCTCTGCAGCTGAATTACTCCTCGACCCGTTCTTTGACGGCATTGCTGATGGAGAAGAAGAAGATGATGACGAAAACAGACAAGACTAACCCCCCAAAAAAAAAAGTAAGTGACTTTAGTTTTAGTTGAAGTTAAGGAGCCATCTATTTTTTGTTTCATGGCTCAAAGGGTTGGGGTTTCCCCCCATCTTTGTGTGGGTTTTCTTTTCTTTTCTTTTTTGCACATAGGAACTTCAGATTCAATATTTAACCATTGTTTCTTCGTTTTATTTGAGGGAATAATACGTTTTCTTGGGATGTAATATAAAGTCAAATCTTTTTATAATGCATAATTTAAATACATTCATACACGAGATGATTATAAGAAGAAAGTATTGTTGATATATATATATATATGTATGTATGTATGTATGTATGTATATGTATGATGTGAACAAGTGTATTATGTATGTATCATAGAGAAAACGAAGGGGAAAACGGTGTTTATATTTGAGTCAACGTTAAATAAATTTGAATTATGACCAGATCATAAATAAAAAATATATTTTGGTAAAGTTAACGGGTGAAGAAAAAAGATATATAGATTTATTTGTACAACTTTGAAATTAAAATAATGAATAGTGAAAGATTAAATATGTGTAGTAAACGTTTTAGATAACGGGGTTTGTCAAGTTGATCGCCTTTGTCCGTTGACAAGCTGTGTCGCCATACCAATCTTTTATGCCTTCTTGTTTTCCTTTTTTTTTCCTTTAAAAAACAATCCTCTATTATTTAATTATTTGTAATTTTTATGCCAACTTCTTCACAAGTTGTCTTGTCCCTCTGTCTCCAATATATATATACACACACACATACTCAAACACACTAGATGAATACATGGCTTCTAATATGTTTGAGAAAGATAGAAGAAAGAAAAGGGTAAGTTTGCTTGTAAATCTACGGGTTAGTGAACGCATGGAGTATGATATTCCTGCTACCGAAGTTCGTCACAAAACAGGTAGACAGCTTGTGTTCTGGGTTCTTATGGGGTTCAAACTCTGAAGGATCTCGAGGACATAGGATATCATGGGACTCGTGTTGCCAGCCTAAACGGGAAGGAGGGCTGGGGCTACGCAAGTTAACAGAATTTAATCTAGTCTTTCGGCTGAAGCTAATCTGGCTCTTATTCTCGAAATCGGGTTCCTTGTGGGTCGCATGGGTGAAAGAAAACATTTTCAGGAATAAGGGCTTTTGGAACTGTGAGCATTCGTCACGTTTTTCGTGGAACTTTCGGAAATTGTTGAGCATTAAGGATTTGGTAAAGCAGATGTTGAAGTTCCAGATTGATAATGGTCAAGTAGCATCGTTCTGGCACGATCCGTGGACCGATCTGGGCCCGCTAATTGACTTTGTGGGGGAGGCTGGACCGCGCAGCTTAAGGCTACCACTGTCGGCATCTGTGAGCGAGGCTGCCACCGAGGGTTCTTGGTCCTTGTCAGGAGCTCGGAATGACAGAATCCAGCAAATGCTTGTGCACATTTCTACCATTCAACCTCCTGCACCTAGCAACCCACCTGACATAGTTTTGTGGAAATTCAAAGGGAATGACTACAGGCCGTACTTCTCCTCCTCTAGAACTTGGAATCACATTAGACTTTGTAGAGAACCAAGACCTTGGCACTCCATTGTTTGGTTCTCGGCTGGTATTCCGAGATACGCTACCCTTCTTTGGCAAGTAATGTTGCAACGTCTACCTACGAAAGATCGTCTCTGCAGATGGGGAATCACCTCGGATACGCTTTGCAGGTTGTGTAACTCGGCTGTTGAATCTCACCACCATCTATTCTTTGAGTGCAGCTATGCCTCCAACGTTTGGAGTCACTTCGCGGAGGTTTGCTGGCCCAGAATACCACAAAACACATCGGAGATGGTGGAGTGGTTAAGCAGCATGCCTAACGACCCAACCGGTGGAAGGAAGACCATTGCCAAACTATTACTTCAGATCTCAGTGTATGAAATCTGGAAGGAAAGAAACCACAGGATCTTCCGAAACATTGCCCATTCGATCCCGCATCTGCGATGGAAAGTCGACCGCGTTATGCGTACTGTCCTCCTATCTTGTAAGTGCACTCCCTCATCTGCTAATTCATCCCTCCTAGCTGATTGGTACTACCTTACTCGCTACTCGAGACCACCCTAGACATTACACCTCTGTTGTTAGACGGTTAGACTGTTTGATTATCTCGGCTATATTTTGACCATTTGTTTATGGGTTCCTTATGTATACAGTCATGGACTGGTTGTACATTTTTGCTAAAGTAATATACATCACTTTCATCAAAAAAAAAAAATATTTCAAATCTCATAATGTGTGGCCCATCATATATAAACATTCCACCATCATATGATCATTATTTGACCGACAAAAGTTTTTTTTTAAATATAATAAATTATACGATATATCTCTATCGCGGGTTCACACTGTAATTTTTAAAATATAACAATTGTTGCAAATTGTATCCAATTTTGAAAATTTTAATGGTTTGTAAAGTCAATAACTACGATGCAAATTAAACAAAAAACGTGCAAACAATGGAAAATTAATCAAATACAGAATGCTGACTTTGTACCCATCTAATTAATTGATCGAAATTTCGTGTAAACCCAAATCATTATAAATATTGAATGAGAAAAGCTAATAAAAAATGAAATTAGAAATAGAAATGTGGGTTGTCAATTAAATATAATCATGAACCCAAAAAAAATTGCAACTTGAAGTATAATTAATGGTTGAAATGCAACCTTTGGATTACTCATAAACATCATCTTGCCCAAAAAGGGATAATAGAGGTGTAAGCCTTTGAAGATGTATTGGTCCATATATTCTCCGTATAAATAAAATAAAATAAAATAAAATAATTTAAAAATTTTATCATATTGTTTTAGTCGTTTCACTTTCGTATACCCACCAACGTACCAGAAGATTAGGTGCAGAAAAAAATTGGTAGAACAATTTTTCATTAATCACATTTTTTTTAACCAAATAAAAATTATTTGATCAAATTTTCACATGATTCCATCCAACATTATATATATATATATACACACATGACGTAGGATGTAACATGATGGGCTAACATAATGTCTTTGTCTAGTCATGCCCGCAAACGTGTACACCGGAATTCGTCTGAATTTTACTAGTTCTCGTTCTTATTAGGTGAGATATGTGATTTCGCATTTCAATAATAATAATAATAATAATAATAATATTAAAGGAACCAATTCTCTTTTTGCAAGTTGGGTATTGTTCATTTATATTTTGATACGGAATTACATAATGTGACGGTCTTTATGATACTTTTAAAATTTTAAATTCCATTAAAGTTAGGCTTATGGTTTGGTTCCAAGCAAGGAATAGTCTGTATTGCTTCTGGTGAACGTGTTTTTTTTTTGTTTTTTGTTTCTGTACATTATTTAAGCTGTTGATCCATAAATAAATACAATTAAACCAAACCTTTATAACGAATATTAGGAATTTTTCTAAAATTATTTTAAATTTTTTGAAAAAAAAAGGCTTTTTAGAAGCAAAAAAGGGGGTCATCATCATCATCGTCGTCGTCGTCATTCGTCATCGTCTTCTGTCAAATCTCTCCTCCACAACCCAAAAAAGGATTCTTACAGCATAAGAATGCAAATCTCAAATCTTTCCTCCTCCTCCTATTATTATATGTGACCATTGTTCTCCTCTATTTTACCATCGTTGGCCGAGGTAAAGAATCCATTGATTTCAGTGGATTTTGTAGAGAGATTTTTGGAATAAATTAAGAAACCATTGCAGAAAATCAAAGGGCAGATTTTGAGAGAGAGAGAGAGAGAGGGAGTGGATATCATATAGGATGAACAGAACATCCTCTGTTTCAATTGTTCTTGTTCTTTTATCCAGATCTTAGATTCTCCGCGTTTCCTCATCTGGGTTACCTCCAAAATGGTGAATTTTCCTCCCTCGAGTTTGAATCTCCTTCTCATTCTTGGGTTTTTCGCCTCTTCGGTGTTCTTTCTCCCAAATGTTTCTATCTTCTTCTTCTGTTTCATTCGTCGTGTGCTTTGTTTGATTGCTCTTTGGACTGTCTGAATTTCCCCCGTGTTTTTGTTTTCTTATTGGTTGATTGAATGATCCCTGTGTCAGATTTGAAAATCATCACCCAACTCCTTGTTGATCGGGACAAGGGTCGGATCCTGTCTGGTTTTTCAGACAAAAGCATGTTTCCGCTTCTTCTCACCGCTTTCTAATTTCACGTTACCCTCATTCTTCTGGATTCCATTCTTTGATTGCGCGTTAAGCTAAGCCAAGAACTGATAGCTCCTCAATCTCAGTCTGAATTTCGAGTTTCCAAGAGATAAAATCCATCGCTTTCGATGTTTGACGAGCTGGGCAATCTCATTACGCACACTGATCCGGCCCTGAGATCAGATTGACGTGATTGTGTTCATGTGTGGATGTGTGTTTGTTTTCCCAGGAGAAAAAGATGGAATCGGATCTGGGCAAGCTCTTCATCGGCGGGGTTTCATGGGACACGGGTGAAGAACGGCTGCGGGAGTACTTCGGCAAGTACGGTGAAGTGGTCGAAGCCGTGATCATGAGAGATCGTTCCACGGGTCGTGCCCGTGGATTCGGATTCATCGTTTTCTCAGATCCTTTTGTTGCTGAGAAAGTGATCATGGAAAAACACATGATCGATGGTCGCACGGTTAGTCAATTCTTCTTCTTCTTCTTCTTCTTCTTCTTCTTCTTCTTCTTCTTCTTCTTCTTCTTCTTCTTCTGGTTTCTGGAGCAAGATCGTAACTTTCATGTCCTAAACTAAGCTAAAGTTCTGAATTTTACTGTGTTAAAGGCTGACTTTACGGAAAGGATGAATCATTTGATCGGTTTTCTTTCAGGTCGAGGCGAAGAAGGCGGTTCCACGAGACGATCAACAAGCGCTGAAACGACACGCCAGTCCCCTACACCATACGCCGTCGTCGTTGTCGCCTGGACATGGTGGTGGACGGACAAAGAAGATCTTTGTCGGAGGTTTACCGTCTACAATTACCGAGGCCGAGTTCAAGAACTACTTCGATCAGTTCGGTTTAGTTTCCGACGTCGTGGTAATGTACGATCACAATACGCAGAGGCCAAGAGGCTTCGGTTTCATCACTTACGATTCCGAGGATTCCGTGGATAGGGTTCTACACAAAACCTTCCACGAACTCAACGGTAAAATGGTCGAGGTGAAGAGGGCAGTGCCGAAAGAGCTTTCCCCTGTTCCTAACCGAATCCCTGTTCTCGGGCACGGTAACTTCGGAGGTTCGAATATGTCTCCTCCTGCTAATAGCTACTTCAGTAATTTCTCTCCTGGTTATAATGTGAGCTCGGTTGCTCGGTTTAGCCCCATTGGTAGCGGTAGTAGAACTGTGTTTCCTGGTTTCGGGCTTGGTCTGAATCCTGAACTGAGCTTGGATCCGAGCTATGATGGATCAAATTCTTCGGTCGGAAACACTTTCGGGTATGCCCGGATTCCGAGCAACCATTACTACAATGGCAATGGCGTAGCCTCGCCTAACCGTTACAACATTCCAATCGGGTTTAACAGGACTGACCACCCTCCCCGTGTTTACAACACGAGCAGCCGAGACATGTGGGAAAACAGGACGGACTCTGCTGTCTCGGGTTGGAACCTCGGTGTCTCGGTTGGAAACAACAGAGGGAACTGGGGACTTTCTTCTGCTGCAAGCGATAACAATGGCTACGCGAGAAATCTCGGGACAGGTTCTGGATTTTCCGCGTCTTCTTCCTTCTCGGGAACGAACGGGTTTGAGGGTTCTATCGGAGAATTCTTCAGAGGCGGCTCGGTTTACAGCGACTCAACGTGGCAGCAACCACCTCCTCCTCCTCCTCAGTCTTCTCATGAGTTAGAGATTGGATCTTCTCGTCCATTCAGCTATGGCATTGGCAATGTAATCTCAGACCCATCTGCCAATGTCTCAGAAGGTTACAATGGAAGTTACAGTGTCGGAAATAGACAAACGAACAGAGGTACATTGCCATGTCCGATCGAGTTCTCCGCCATTATAGCTCGCCTCGTGAAGAACACAAGAACAGTGTTTGACCCTCTATGCTGATTTTCGTTTTTTCAGGAATCGCGACATAGGTGTGTGATCAAACAAAAACTGATGAGATTCGTAGATGAGCCGCCATTGCAGAGTTCTTCTTCATCTGATAATGTCGATTAGGGTTCTTGTTCATCTTGGAGAGAGAGAGAGAGACCAAATTTCACCGTAAGTTCCGCGAAATCTGTTTTTTTTTTCTTTTCTCATTGGCACAAACAAAAAGTGATTTTTTTTAGATCGTTGTTTATGGGAGACAAATTAAGATCAGATCTTAGAGACAAAACACAACAACAACAACAGTGAGGAAGATGAAGATCTGCTTCTCAGCAGCTCCATAGCAAAAGCCAGACCGTAGATTTTTTAGGATCTTTTTTTTTTTTAACTTGAATCGATAGAGATTCCTGATGTTGTTTGCTCTGTTGTTTGTAGTAATTTTATCCTTTGATGATCGAATTGTTCATGAGGAAGACACTCTGATTTTATTACTTTGGTAATTTTCGTTTTTCATTTGATTTGGGTGTATAAATAAATAAAAAGATTGTTTTGCTTTTATTATTATTATATTCCACACTCCCGAATCATGTGATATTATCAAAATATTCACAGCCATTTTCTATCACAGTATTCAAATCAGCTTTGGAGATTCTACGTTTGGACCATTTTGTTTTTTTTTTTTTTTTGGATTTTGGAATTACCAAAAACTGATATCTGGAGCGCATACCTATATGAACGTATATTAATAAACAATTCAAAGAGTTTTCAGCTTCTATTTAAATTTTTTAATTGTGTCTAGTATTTTGGAATATATATATATATATATATATATTTGTTGACTACGAGTGCATGAAAATGATTAGTAAAATACAGGTTTTGGGCTGGATTCGTTGGGCCCCAATGGGCCCTACATTTCTCTAGGCGGTGCCGCCATCAACGGTAACAAAAAGGGTACAAAAATGTAAAAAATATTTCTTCTGTTCACTAAAAGAAAAGTTTCTCTCTCTCTATATATATATATATATATATATTATATATAGGTAGATATACGTGTATTGTGTTTATATGTGCATGTATGTGATTAGTAACATCTCCCTGTTATATACAAATTCTATTTTAATTTACATTATTTACAGACAAACCAGGTCGATATTATATTTAATATTATTATTTCCATTGATGCTTGAAAAAATTATAATTGAATCGCTAATTATTTTTATAGTGACAAATTTTAAAAATATTTAGCTGAACGTAGAAACTTTTTTTTACTATAAAAAAAACAAATTTAAAAAATAGTGTAGTGAATAATTCGTAAATATTTAAATAGCGTTCGACATTTGGGCCCAACTGGAAATTATGTCCAAAAAAATTTGGGTACTGTAACTTTCTTTTCTATTTATGTATATATATATTTTTAGGGTTCCAAATGGGAAAGGAAGACAGAGATGAGCAAAAGTCGCTGTTTCAGAATTATCGTGTCTGATTTTCAAATTTATATTTTTATTTAAAAAATATAATAGTAATATAATTTTCAAATTAGGTTTTTTTATTAGAAAAATATTTAGAAAAAGATTGAACTTTACATCATATGGTATATAAAAGTAAAATGTGGTATTTATGGCGAGAAATAATATTTATTATCTGAATATTTTTTTGGCACCATTTACATATTTTTTAAAGATACTAACTACAAATAAAGTAAATACAAACTCATATATCGTTCGTATGCGAGGAAAAGAATGAACTTTTACAACGAATAACTTTGACCACAAGTTTAGAATAGAAAACGTTTTTAAGTATTTATTCAATGGCCCAATATTTTACAATGTTATCAAAATCAATACCTTTAGTATCAAAATTCGAAAAAGTAACCCTAAATAAAGAGTAAAGTAAAGATTAAAGCAGCAAAACCCATCCGATAAAAATTCATTTTTACAGTTTCCATCAGAAAGTTGTCTCCCCAAAAATTCTTGAGACCAAAGCTGATTAATTTCCACTTTGCTTTAATCCGTGTCTGAAAATGGCATCAGACCAGAGCTTGAAGGATCTTCAATGGTTTCTCCAAACAATCAAAGACCCGCAGCAGAAAACCCTAAACCTCCACAACATCTCCTTCTTCGTCATTTCCGGCAACACTTCACACTGCCACGAAGAAACGGAGACCTCCATGAACATAAACATCACCAGAGACAACCTCTCGTACCTTTGCCAGATCTTCATCGAGTTGGCGACAACCTTAGAAACGCAGACATCGCTTCGGAACCTGGAGTTCAACGGCATTGAATGGGAAGCGGAGCTGCTGCAGAGCCTGGGTTTGTTACTTGACAACAGCTCGCAGATAAAGCAGCTTTCATTCAGACAGAACAGGTTCAGTGAAGAGTGTCTGATCGAGCTATCCGAAATCCTGAGGAGGAACGCTGTAATTCGGGAGGTTATGTTCATGGAGTCGTCCATTGGGTGCATTGGAGCTACACTTCTCGCTTCTGCTCTCGAGGTGAACGATTCGTTGGAAGAGTTGCAGATATGGGAAGATTCTATCGGGTCGAAAGGAGCCGAGGAGCTTTCGAAGATGATCGAAGCGAACTCGAAATTGAAGCTTTTGACGATTTTCGATTCGAGTCCCATCACAGCGACGCCATTGGTATCAGCTGTGTTGGCCAGGAACAGAGAGATGGAGGTTCACGTCTGGAGCGGAGATCATAAACGAGACAGAAGCTCGAAAGCTGTTGAGTTCTTGCCTGAGGACAACACGCTGAGGATCTACCAGATTGACGTGTCGGGTTCTTGCAGAGTCGCCGGAGCTCTCGGGCTGAACACGACGGTCAGGTCACTGGACATGACGGGCGTGAAGCTGAAGTCGAGGTGGGCGAAGGAATTCAGATGGGTCCTCGAGCAGAATCGAACACTGAGAGAAGTGAAACTGTCCAAGACAGATCTCAAAGACAAAGCAGCTGTTTATGTTGCAGCTGGGCTTTTCAAGAACAAGAGCTTGCAGAGTTTGAATGTCGATGGGAACAGGTTTGGTGGAGTTGGTGTTGAGCATCTGCTCTGTCCGTTGAGCAGATTCTCAGCTCTGCAACTGCAAGCCAACATTACTCTAAGATCGATCGCATTCGGTGGACCGAAGACGAAAATAGGAAGAGATGGGCTTACAGCAATCTTGAAGATGGTAACGACCAATGAAACCATTACTCAACTTGCCATACACGATGATGAAGGTTTGAGACCAGATGATTTCATAACCATTATCAAGAGCTTGCAGAAGAATGCCTCTCTGAGACGGTTTTCATTGCAAGGCTGCAAGGGAGTACGAGGAGAGAGGGTGTTACAGGCAATAACAGAGACTTTGCAAGTCAATCCTTGGATTGAAGATCTTGATCTCTCAAGAACTCTGCTCCAAATCTCCGGGATGGCAGATGGGATTTATCAGAGGCTCGGACAGAACGGGAAGACAGATGAACCTGAGACAGATTCACTCAAGGACATGCCCCTTACTGAACCAAAGAGCTGCCGTGCCTTCTTCTGTGGACAAGAATATGCAGGTAATGCCGTAAAACTCCTCCCTAATCTGTAGTTTTTGCATGCATGGCTTCAATCTTGGAATCTGGTAGGAACCCAATTGCCGACGATACTTCTTCTTACCTGCAGGTAAGACGACGTTATGCAACTCGATAGTGCAGAGCTTCTCTTCCTCGAAGTTTCCTTACGTTGAACAAGTGAGAACTCTGATGAACCCAGTGGAGCAAGCTGTTAGAACAGCTGGGATGAAGATCAAGACTTTGAAGGACGAAGACACGAAAATATCGATGTGGAATCTCGCAGGCCAGCATGAGTTCTATGCCCTTCACGATCTTATGTTCCCGGGCAATGGGAGTGCGTCCTTCTTCTTGATCATATCGAGTTTGTTCAGAAAGCCAAACAATAAAGAGCCTAAAACACCGGCGGAAGTTGAGGAGGACCTTCAATACTGGCTCAAGTTCATAGTTTCCAACTCACGAAGAGCAGTCCAGCAATGTATGAAACCGAATGTCACTATTGTCCTCACACATTTTGAAAAAATCGGCCAACAATCACAAAGCTTTCAGGCAACTGTGGATTTGATACAGAGACTCAGAGATAAGTTCCAACCTCTAGTTGACTTCTATCCAACTGTGTTCACAGTTGATGCAAGGTCAACTGCTTCAGTGAGCAAACTCACTCACCATCTTAGGAAGACAAGCAAGACCATCCTGGAAAGAGTTCCCCGGGTTTATCAGCTCTGCAATGACATGACACAAATCTTGTCCGACTGGAGATCAGAGAATCATAACAAACCCGTGATGAGATGGAAAGACTTTGGAGAGCTCTGCCAAGTTAAGGTTCCTTCCCTGAGGATAAGGTCTCGCAGTGATAACAAAGAGGTCGTTGAAACAAGACGGCGAGCCATTGCCACCTGTCTTCACAATATGGGAGAGGTGATTTACTTTGACGGGTTGGGGTTTTTAGTACTGGACTGCGAGTGGTTTTGCAGCGAGGTTCTTGCTCAGTTGATAAGACTTGAGGTCAGAAAGCAAAGCACTGGGGAGAGGAGAGACGGGTTTGTCAGCAGGCAAGAGCTGGAGAAGATTCTGAAAGGAAGTCTACAGAGACAGATTCCCGGGATGAGCTCAAAGGTCTTTGAGAATCTCGATGCAGGTGACCTCGTGAGGATGATGATGAAACTAGAACTGTGCTATGAACAAGATCCCTCCATTCCAGATTCTCCTCTGCTTATTCCATCGATCCTCGAAGAAGGCAGAGGAAAGCCTCAGAAGTGGCCGGTAAACACAACTGACTGTGTCTTTGCAGGCCGCCATCTCCAGTGCGATGATTCAAGCCACATGTTCCTCACACCTGGTTTTTTTCCACGTTTACAGGCAAAACTTACTGTTCTATCAATGCTGTCTCTTTGTCCTTCGCTTCCAGAACTCACAACTCAACTAATCTGCTTTGTCTGGACAGGTGCATCTTCACAACAGGGTCATGGCACTGAAGAACCAACATGGAGCAACTTACAGTCTCGAGAAGTACCTCATCGCGATAACAATCAATGGAATATACATTAGAGTGGAGCTTGGAGGCCAGTTGGGTAATTACATCGATGTCCTTGCTTGTTCAACCAAGAGCTTGACAGAAACCCTGAGGCTTATTCACCAGCTCATCGTTCCTGCTATCCAGAGCCTCTGCCATGGTGTAATCCTTATCGAGCACGTTATAAGGCCAGAATGTGTCCATAACTTAACTCCCCCGAGGTTCCGCAGAACTCAGTTTCTTTCCCTGCTGCAACTAAAACAAGCATTACTGTCGGTTCCTGCAGAAAGTATGTATGACTACCAGCATACATGGGACTCGGTCTTAGACTCGGGTAAGACTGTTCTAGGAGCCGGGTTTGATTTTGCACGAGATCTTCTCTCCGACGATGATTTCAGAGAAGTATTGCAGAGAAGATACCATGACCTGTTCAATTTAGCACAAGAATTGCAAGTTAACAGCCCTGAAACTGCAGAGAGTAGTACTGTGTCGTCAGTGACCAATGATCTGGATAAGGTGGATCCGAGCTTTGGGGGAATAGCCAAGGGTGTAGAAGCAGTTCTTCAGAGGCTGAAGATCATTGAACAAGAGATAAGAGACCTGAAGCAGGAGATCCAAGGGCTTAGGTACTATGAACATAGACTTCTCATCCAGCTTCACCACAAAGTGAATTACCTTGTGAACTACAATGTCCAGATGGACGAAAGAAAAGTTCCAAACATGTTTTACTTCATCAGAGCCGAGAACTACGCCAGAAGACTTGTCACCACGATAGTTCCGGGCATGGCTGCTCTCCGGTTACACATGTTGTGTGAATTCAGACAGGAGATGCATGTGGTGGATGATCAAACTGGCTGTGATGTGATGCAGATAGATAACATGGCTGTGAAGTGCTTGGCTCCTTACATGTCAAAGTTCATGAAACTGTTGACCTTTGCCTTAAGGATAGGTGCCCATTTGGCAGCTGGAATGGGACAGATGATACCTGACTTGAGCCGGGAGATAACCCACCTCGGGGGCTCGTCTGTCATGGTTGGAGCAGCCGGGGCAGCTGCGGCTGGGGGCC